TCCCTTAATTTTGAGTTTGTTTTTCTCGATTATTTAGAAAAGTATTAAGAATGTTTCACTTTTGACCCCCCAAAGTACCAACTAGATTCACTTTCTGATCGAACGAGGTACTGAAGTCAAAAATCGAAGCACTTTTACTGCCCCAAAACGTGATGACAGACACAAAAAAAAACACACACATCATGGTAAAATCAATACATTTATCGCACCGCTCAGAATCTAAAACTGAAATGATTATAATTCGTTTAAAATGTGAAATATCCTATTTTGTACAGATTTTAACAAACATTTTATGTATTTTAAATTTTCTGGTTATTGTTTAAACTATAATAACAAGAAATTTTCAATTTTCAATCTTAAACTTAAAAATGGAGTATTTTATAAATTAGTAATTACAAAATAATTTGCAAAATTTTAGAGGTTTCGATGAATTTTGTTAAAATTTCAATTTCTCATATAAGAGTTAATTAAAACTCTAATTTATGTCGATAATTTGACCACTTTAAACTCWATTTCAGTTAAGAATCATAGTTGTTGGCATTAATGTACAGAAGTTTCCCCTAACTGCTGACAATGACAAGCATCTTAATTTGGATGCAGTATAGATTACAACTGTACTTGAGTAATACCAAAACTAACACAATATAAAATAAAAAAAACATTTCCATAATAAAATGGTAAATGTGCCAGATCTTTTCTGTTTATTCACTACCAATGATAGTGGTCCACTGAAGTGATAAAGAGGTTACCACTCTATCACTGTGTTAGAACAAAATATTWGAAAATATTYCTTGACTTGCTATGCAAAACCACMTAAGTTGGTCACAGGTAAYTGCGGTATAACCACTTTTAACACTCAGGGATGGTCCATGAATTAACAGAAATCATACTAGTACTAAATGTAGTAAATTAGATTAAAATAATTTATCTATTAAATAAATAAACAAAAAAACAATATTYACAAAGTTATTTGTATATTTTTAAATGGTCTTTCAATTTAACAGAAAACATWATTAACTCTGTCTAGTTCTGGGCTTAGCTTGGGTTCCTTCGCGGAAACCGTTCCTGAAAAAAATTCAAAAACATTGAGTTATTTAAAGTTTAATTATTATTAATACTAAGTTGGTGCTCAGAGAGGGCAAGTAATACCCATTTTAAATTCAGTCGTATTAGCGTATATTAATAAAATTTAACATCATTGCACGGATATCTTTATACTTAATTTGAGACTGGAGTAAAAGYATAACAATATGTAAATTATAACTTTTTTGATATAATACATTGATAATACAACTTAAACTTATATTAGTTTATATATAAAAAWAACATTATACTAATYTGAAATTGTTTGTRGTTAGCTTGTAAAATAAAATCAACTTACATTAATAARCTTTATGTTTAGAKATAAAATCATCTAATATACTAGTGCATTTAGTGCTCAGAGAGGGCAAGTAATACCCATTTTAAATTCAGTCGTATTAGCGTATATTAATAAAATTTAACATCATTGCACAAATATATATGACATAGTTATGAATGGTATAAACATAATTTTCAATYGACTAGATAAGTGATGTAAAATATAAATACTTGGGAACATTGTTAATATTAATGGTGGTGAAAAGGGGTAACAAGTTATCCCATTATCCTTTTTTAAATGTTTAATATCTGATAACCATAAATTATATTTTCAACAATTAACTAGTAAAAATCAGCCATATTTTCTCATACTGGTTGATAAAATAAGATATATAAATAATAAACCTCAAATCAACTKTAATACAATTAGTTAAATTTAGCATATAATATAAATGATACTGTATCTCTTTTAAAAATTAAATTAAATTAAGTTAGCTGGTAAAATAAAAGCAACTTAAATAATCAATTGRCATATTTTTGGATTTAAAAAAGTACCATAAAAAAATAGTAAATAATGATCTCAAAACTTTGTTAAAATTTTAATTTAGTTGAAGGTAGTATTAGTTAAATAACTTAGATGTCAAATGGATTGTTTTTAATAGTTATTTTAGAAATTTTACATAAAAAAAAAAAGAATTTAAAAAATTTGTATTAGGAAAATATTTTGAAAGAACAACTTTAATTCTCCAATAATTAGCGTGTATAAAATTTAATTTCAGGACAAATATCGATGAAATTTAAAACAAGATTTGATCATTCCAGTTATTTAAAAAATGCATMTAGAATGTTTAGTGTCATATGCAAATAAGTAAATATATATTACTTATAGTAATGGATTAATATTTTATGACAAGTAAAAAGTAATACTCAGAGAGGGCAAGTACTACCCATTTTAAATTCAGTCGTATTAGCGTATATTAATTAAGATTAACATCATCGCAAAACTTTTACATATTGATCAAATATTATCCATATTGTATTACTTATTCCTACATCATTACAATACTCAAAGAGGGCAAGAAGTACTCATGTTAAACAAGWTGTATTAGTGTATATAATTGATTTTCTTCRTAATAATATGMAAGTTAAGATTAGTCAATTAACAATTTAACTAACAAAAATTGTGCAAATGTTGAAAGGGTAATAATAAAAATAGGAATGTATTGAGACAAGACTCACCTAAATTTCCTGCGAACAATCTTCAGATGTCTGAGTCGGCCAGTTCCAGTAGTCTTTCGACGTTGAGCTTTAACGCTCCAATTGTCTGAAAAAAAAAATGAATCCAACATTAACGAAATCACACAAGAGGAGACAGGTGTGATAGGTGCCACCTATTCAAAGTACTTACAATGACGGAGCTTTTTACTCGGGTATCCACACTGGGCGCACTTGGACTTTTGTATGTGATACGATGATCGTCCACAACGACGACACAGAGTGTGCGTCTTATTGTGACGTTTACCAAAACTCGAAGTACCTTTCGTCTAGAAACACAATAATTATCAATTACTGATTTGTAGAATACGGTTTGAAAATCTGACGATTGCAATCGGCGGGCTGTCTGCCGAACGAAAGAATATCGGWCTACAAGCCAATGCAAAGGATCATTCGAATAAAAGCGGATACAAATGTAAAAACAAATTTCAACTTACCATTATTCCGAGGACGAGATCCTAAAATGACAACAACAACCAGCCACTCCAAGTGGTCGGGCAAATGGAGTATAGACAAGTTAACCTAAAATGCGATTTTGGTGGGAGGTCTCTCGGACTCGGACTCTCTCAGATAGTCAGATAACCCATTGAAGAGTAGTACAGTGTGACCAGTCATTAGATGKCAAATATACCGAATGTACGAGCACCTTGGAAATACTCGCACAAGTGAGTATCTTATCTTAGCATCCTTGGATAATAGATTATAGTCTTCGAGAATTTCGGAGCAACCGTTAACCGTTAACTCATAGAAAAGAGATTAAATTTGCGAGATTAACTTAAAGAGATTAACTTTTTACATTTTACAAAATTTACAACGGTCAACGATATTTGATAACTTCAAATTTGATAYATTTATTTAAAAATTATTCTAAATTGTGTGTTTTTTTTTTATTTGTATCTTGTTACTTGTTATTGTTACTGTTAAGTGTCAATTTATCAATGTTCTATATCGAGTTTTGTTGAAGTATATAATATATTAATGTTTTAGCAGATGTCGACAACCTGTTTTTAGTTTAATCATGGCAATTTGCGAGGAAGTTGAATATATGGACGTGTCGTTAAATTCGGAAAAAAATGAAACAACATCCTTTGGAAAAAAGTTTCATGTCAATCGCACTCCAACTCCTTTAAAACCTTCACGTCACTGGTGCATGTCTACAGAACTCTTGCGTTCACAGTACAAGACTAACAACATCCACAAAACAAAAGTGTATAATCCTTTTAATGACAACTTAATGCAACGATTGGGTGAGACAACAATTAGTCCTACGGTATTCGCTAATGTAAAAAGTCCTGGGCAAGAAGTAGAGTTTGGATGGAATATTGATGATGTCTCTAAACTTTACCCAGTGCACATAGAAGATGAATGTGTAGTCGATGACGATCAAGTTGATGATGAAACAGAATCCAAGTTACAAGAGACTATTGACAAGTAATCAATAATCTATTTTATAGGTTGCTATTACCTTAGCCTATAATTTTATATTTTTTGTTATTCATTATTGTATAGGTATTTTTATACAACACATAAAGTTCCTAGCCCTTGGAATAATCAAGTTATTGATTGGGAAGCTAATAAAAATTCATCTTCTACACCCATATCAAACATATCAAATTTACAAAACCAGAAATCTGTATCAAATACCTGTGAAGGTACTTTTGTTTAACTTGACTAAGATTAATGTAAAAACATCAAAGTCTTGTTTTAAATATGTTTCAGTTTCAACACAAACAAATCTAAGTTTTCCTTCGATATTACCTGATCATGTTGAAGAAATACTAAAACCTTACTTTTTGAATTCAGTAAAATATTTTTTCCTTTTGCACCAACTTAATACATATTTTATTTAATATATTTTTTTTCCAATTTATTTAGACTCAAAATTGTGAAGAAGAAATAAGTCCTACAAAAGATAACTCTAATTTACGTCGCAAACTATTTTTTATGAATGATAATGATGACCCAATTTCTCCAGTAGAAATGTCAGTAAATATGTTCAAAAACAGCAAACTATTTTTACACTTAATTTTTTCAATTTATTTACTATAGGCGCAGAAATAGGTCATTTAGTCCGTTAACTAAGTGTTTTATCAAAACTGTTAATTCAAAAGGTCCAGTTCTTGGAAATCATTTAGGCGTACAAGAACTACCTATAGACTGTCACATTCCAATTGATGTATCTCCAATAATAAATAAAAATGATAGAGAAAATACTCCTCCCAATAATAAAGGTAAGAAATTCAAATCATGTATCATTTTTTGTTTTTAACAATTTAAAATATTTCATGTCTTATGTAATTTTTATACAAATAATTATATACACAATTTTAATGTTAAATGTTTAGGACTACACTTTGAAAATTCCTCATTTATTTTATAATGTTAACATATTCTTATTTTATAAAGGCTTCATTAATAGAATATTGCTTCCCCTTTGTTTATCCTAAGTAGTTCCATATTGATACAGCAACATTAACGGAAACAAATATATTTATCTGTGCCCTCTAATTATGCCTCACTACTTATAATAAATTTTTAAAATTTTTAATATTAACTGTCAGTTCAGTATGAATTTTTTCAAATTCAATATTTTAACTTTAAAGTTTAAACAATTTTAGCAAATATTTTTAAACAAAACCTGATAATAATTAACAGTTTGGTTGAGATTCAAACACAAATTGAACTGTTACTAATAATAAGGGCTAGAATTTACATGCATTGGTATGTTTTCTGCAACTTCTGATTAATTATTGTGTAAGTAATGTCCACGAATTAGCTCTTGCTGAGGTAAATGGTGGTATTTTTATTTGTCATATTTTTTGCATATTTTGAACAAAATGAATATTTTTATACCTTTCGACTACAAAAACACAAAAAGTGCATGTTTTATAGTATAATGAAATAAACTATAAAAACATTTACATTACAATTCGGAAATCATTGAAAACACCAAATCTAAACTTGGTCAAAACAAAGAATCGATCTCTGAAAAAATCAACAAAAAATATTAGTTGTGTTAGAAAAAAATACCGGGCTAAAAGCTATGTCTACGATACGTATTATTTTATATGGCAACGATGTAGATGAAGTTTTTCCGAATCCAACTCCTGAGGAAGTTACAAAATTTAAATATGCAAAATTTATGTCATGTGATTTCAAACTGAGTTTTAGCAAATATAAAACATACTAAGGTCAAACAGATGATCACTCATTTTTGAAAATTTGAAACATCATGTAATTAATTTGAGTAGTTTTATCAATTTTATATCAATTAATATTTTAGGGATTTTGAGATTTAAAAATTTTAGATTCTGAACGAAGTGATGAATGTATTGATTTTACAATGTGTTTTTTTTTTTGTGACTGTGTACAGCATAACTAGTCGAAATAATGCTTCAATTTCAAACTTTGGGGGTGGTTTCCGATGTAAAAGTGAATATCCTTGGTGCATTATA